GGTGTGGGGGATGGGGGCTGAGGCAAGGGGAGGAACAGGAGCGAAGGGGGAGCGCGGCGGCAGAAGGAGGGCAGCCTCCCCCACCCTCCAGCGCCCTCCCTTTCCTCGCTCCTAGGAGTCACTAAAGTCCAGGAAAATTATGCTAATGAGGACAAACTGCGCTCACAAAGGGGCTCTCTTGCCGGGCTCTATTTCTTAGGATTCCGTCTGAGAACCACATAACCCTCAGCACGGGCATCTCCAGTCATAGGGCAAAGTAAAGGGTGCCAGGAGAAGGGAATTCTCCAGACTCTGGGCACTTAACTTGCCTGCCACCCCCCAGCTCAGGTACCCCAAAGCCAAGCTGGGAGGGAGAGCAAGGATAGGGCCTCTTTTCTCCAGAGACTTCTTCAAGAGCCAGCCTGGGCTACCTTTGGATTTATTTCTAACCATAAGCCCTTGAAATTGTGCCAGCCTGGAGGGAGCTGACCTGGGGAAGAGGCACATTGGGTGGGCAGTGCAATGGGACGCTCTGGGCAGAGGTGGATACGAGGGTGCCTAGGACCTGAGTCTTTAGCCCTCCCATGCACATTTCACAGCATAGACACGCAGTTCACTTACAGATAAAGCTCTGACCCAGCATAAACCCACACCTGTGATATTTTCTTTCCTAATTAGCAGGGTGGATAACTGAGCTGAGCAGAGGAAAGGCCCCGTTTGCCCGGTGCTATCACCATAACTTTAAGGATAATAGTTTTTCTCCTTCCCCAAATCTCCCTCAGCTCCCTGGGTTCACAAGTGAACTCTGCAAGGGTGTATGTGGCAAAGAGAGAAATGGAGCTTTCGTGCAATTCCAAGGCGTCAACTGTGGTCCTTCTCAAAGGAAGGTGTTAAAAATATAAGTAGTATGTTTAAACTGTCAGGGAGCCAAAGTGTCACCTTAAAGCAAAAACAAAGCCAGGGGAAAAGGGAGAAATCAAAAAGCACTCCCAGCCAGGGTGGCCTCATGCATACCAATGGTTTTTGTCATTTATGGCTGGGCAAGATTTATGACTCGACGCCCCAAAGCTGTAAACAGAGCACAAAACAGCAAACACTTGCTCCTTATGGCATATTGCAGCGGCACAACATGAAAGGGGGAGCCGGGCTGCGTAGGAGGCAAGAGCGGGTCGCAAAAATCCGCTTGCCGGCATTTTCTCTTCAAATCTGCGCCCAGTCGGATGTAGCATTTGAAGAAAGAAGGCGTGGGTCAATAATCAACCCGCACTTTCTCCTCCAAACTGCTGACGCGACTGTCGCCGCCTTCTCTGCTAAGGCAGCTGCAGGGAAGGCCAGCTCGCCTGTGAGAATCTGCCTGGGGAGGGAACGGTGCAGGCCTAAGTGGCCTACCTTTCCTTCGGCACCCTACAGGAGCACACCCGGCAAAACGCAGGGACTAGACGCGCCAAATCGCCGGAGCCGAGGGAGATCGAGATTAGGAATTTGGGCCTGGGCCTGCATCGCAGCAGACTAGGTGGCTTCTGGGCCGCGAGCAGCGGCGGGTCAGAAGTGGGACTCCCACCTCAAGACCAGGGTCCTGGCACTCAAACGC